TTTTGCTTGAACTGATTATTCTGACATTTGATTTATATTATAAAACGTTCTATAATAATAACGAATGACGTGTATAAATTCATGTCATTTCTGAAGCGACATGCTTCCTTTGACAGACTATTACATACAATGTACACGATTTTCTTTCCGCTTTTTTGAAAATATATTAATTCCTCAGTCGGCAATGATCGACAGAATCGGATACACAAGCGCTATCGGATTTTATCTAAGAATTTCGCCACCCCCGCAGGGAGGTGCGCGAACTTTCGGCACGTACGTACTCCAACCGCGGGAGAGGAGATGACGCGCGTCCTCGCGCGATACGGTGCGGTGCGGTGCGGTGCGACACGACGGCGGAGCATACCCGCCGGAACGGAAAGGGACGGAAAGCGACGAGCGTCCCCGAGACGAGACGAGACGCGACGAGGAAAGACGATGAGGGCCGACGAGGGTCGCGTACCGCGGCGCTGAACGCAGTGCCATCCGATAGGCAGCACCGCTTGCTCCGCGGATCTTCGACTCTCGCTTCGGGTTCGAGCTCTCCCTGCGCTCGTTCAAGTTCCGCCACGCTCGCCTCCTCTCTCTCTCTCTCTCTCTTCTCTCTCTCTCTCTCTCTCTCTCTCTCTCTCTCTCTCTCTCTCTCTCTCTCTCTCTCTCTCTCTCTCTCTCTCTCTCTCTCTCTCTCTCTCTCTCTCTCTCTCTCTCTCTCTCTCTCTCTCTCTCTCTCTCTCTCTCTCTCTCTCTCCTCCCTCTCCTCTCCTCTTCCCTTTCCTAACCGTCCCTATCTCATTCTCTCTTCCATATCGCTTGCCGCAGCACAAATAAAGTCTCTCTTTCTCCCCTCATTCCATCTCCCTCTCATCAGCTTTTTCTTCCCCTCCGGGTTTCTACATTAGTCTCTCGTTCGTATCCCCTGATCGTGTGTTTCATTCGAAAATAGAACGTCAACGCGCGTGCCGCGCACGCATTTTTGCCGCGAAAACAACGAATTCCCGCTCGCAAGCTCGCTCGCTCTCGTTCACGTTTCGATCGAGCGAATGAGCGAGCGAGCGAACGGGCGCGGCGGCGGCCGCTGGCTCTCGTACCCCTGAACACGCGTTCCGAACTCTCACGAGTTTTGCGAAGTTATGCGACCACCTCGTAAGCGAGCTCGCACGCGTGCACTCACGCGCCGGCTGGGCGCGTCTCTTCCTCTCCCCATCTCCCCGCCTCGATCGTCGCGTATTAATCTCCGCAGAAATCGCGAGGAGTTTACACGTAGCTCTCGTACAACTTGGGAGATTTAACGAGCGTCATCGTTACTGATAATATACGAAAACATGCGAGCTGATTTGAAATATCGATTCTCCCGTAATTACAATTTTATAATTTTTAATTTTATTGATATAATTATCGTTAAATTAAGATAGTCATAGTGACAATGCTTCGTAAAGTAATCAACCGATATCTTTAAGAATTTACTTAAGAATTAAATCGCAGCTGTCGTATATATTAAAGATTGAATTAAATTTATGGTAATTAATATAACCGAAGTAGAAATTATCGGAGAAGATTCACGAATCGTATGGTACTTAATCGAGGATAGATTTGAAAGATAGATTTGAAGAATATGACAAAGTTTTACAAACAACAAATAATTTATTTCGCATTATATCACGGATATCTGTGCGCCATGAAGAAAGTGTCTACAAAAATAGTAAGCGGCGATATATCGCATTAAAAATCTAGTTATGTTTCCCATGAATATATGATGCTTATTCTTTCTCGTTGTCGAATTTACCACAATTTCAGGAAAATTACGTGAGAACTGAAGAATTATTCTCAACGGTCTGCAAAAATATTTTCCTAAAATCAATCGTGAGGATTGCTTGGCGGTTCGTTGAATGCGGGAAGCGGGGATAAAATATTCATATACGTCTTTGACCTCCCTATTGCGCATTCCGTTTCAAATCAAATCGAATTCCCCGAAAATTATCAGTCGTGTAACGCGGATAAAACGCGTCACGTAACACAAAGGTGAACGCCTGTCCTCCCGAGTCGAGTAGGAGCGCGTGGCAGACGCGCGACGATATTTTGGCGGGAGAGTCGTAAAAATAGTGCCTCCGCGGTTTCCTTACTTCAGCTATGGGACTATAATTAGCAGATATTTCGCGTTTTACGTACGGCGGATACACGCGTGTCGCGCTCGCGCGAAAGCGAGAGCGCGCGCGTGATCTCGCTCCGGGATAAGAGGATCAATCGGCCGCGCGTCGCAACGCGCGAGCGGAACACCGATGCCGAGCTGAATTGTTATCAATCAGCAGCGTACCACGAATTCCATCAGCGTGCCGGGTAGAAACGGACCCTGATGTCCCGTCTTCCCCGAGGTTTCTACCATGCCGACTCTCCGCCACTAGGAATTCGTTATTCGAGCGATACGAAGTGTCACGTGACCTCACTATTGGAACTTTGGGACTTGGGTTTTGAGCTCGACTTCTCTTCCTCAAAAAGTATCTCGAATGACTCCCAAGTTTTGATTAATCAGAGTTAGACCTTAATGACACTAATCTAATTTATTTCGCAAAAGTAAAATAAACGAGCGATTATTGAAAATAAATAAACGATAAAAAAAATGTGTATCTTTTATTGAAAATCGAATGATAAAGCTCTTTCGTGTACAGTCGGCGAAATACCTGAGATATTTTTACCTCAACATAAATAAATGCCGCATATAAATTTATTTATCAGAGGTGAAAAAAATAATTATTAAAACGTAAATATAATTTGTCTATAATTTATTAAAGTGACAAATATATTAAACTTATTTATTACATTTAACGATTAACGAAGAATTTATTATCATTTTTTTTAATAATAAATAAATATGTAGAATTTCTGTTAAAAAAAAATCTCTCGGATAAAATATTTATCTCGTGGTTCTCTTTCTACAATAATATTATCGGTTGTATGGCGTTGTTTTGATTAAATTTTTACGACCGCGCGCGTGGTGACGATGACCGCGACGACATCAATGATGACGATCCGGCCAACGGCGGCACCGTCGAGACACAGCCGATCGGGCACAACAATGTCCGCGCGGCGTGTGCTCATAAAAATAGCATTTTCGCGGTTTCTCCCTCCTTACGGCTATACTTAGCCCCGGGCACCGGTGTCCCTCGGCGTAGTAAACAAATTTCAGGAGGGTCGACCCTCGTGTAACGAGAAACGCCGCCCGTATATTCCTCACTCACTCGCCCGTCTATTTTTTCAGCGCGTGTCTTAAATATTTTTAGAGATAGCGCTGTGAATTTTTGCCGTGTCGGTACAAGAAAATATTCCACATATAATTATGTCATAACGTACACGTGAGGAGCGCGAGCGGATTCGCCGTTCGAATATCGAAAGTCGAATTAAAATACACTCGAAGAGAGTACTGTATCCCGATGTTCACGTGTAAATTGCACCTTGAATAATGTATTTCAGAATTTTTTTCAGAGATACTGAAATCGCGAGGAAATCTAGAAACGAGTAACTGAAAGTAAAATGTTAATGAGTAAATTTTCATGATTGTAAAAAAAAATAAAATTGCTTCTCTGGTTAATTTCGAGTGGTAAGTTTATTTTAATTAGTTTATTCGTATACACGCGCGCGCGCGCGCGCGCGCGTGCGTGCGTGTGTGTGTGTGTGTGTGTGTGTGTGTGTGTGTGTGTGTGTGTGTACGTGTGTATGAGCTTAACAGCTATAGCCTCGATCTCCTCTACTCATTTCCCTTTATATTTCCTCCGTTACACTTTTAGATCAGTCACTCCCATCTAGACGCTCGTATTTCTGTGTTTCTTCGCTCTATGCAGATGGCTTGCCGTGTCACCTTTATTATGCCCAGAAATTAGTTATTTAAGCTATTTTGCTGCTGGTGAGAACAAACGGTCCATAAGCATTTGAATTATAAAGTACGCGAAAGCGATCGATTCTTTTCGCAATGCATTTCCAGAATCGGAGCACTGATTAATGAATAGAATATCGAAAATGCGGTAACCCATTAGAAATGAAGATCGAAAAACGAACTTAGTGAATCTGGATAATGATATTTCGTGACGCATAAATGATGTTATTTGGAGATATTTCCAAAGTGTCATTATAGCGTAATATCCTGAAAGTATTCCGGAATTTTTGTCGCGTGAAAATTACGATAAAAACTGCTTTTAATAGATTTTGATGATTATTTTAACTTTTCTCTTTCTCCTCGGGATTGATTCCCTAGTGAACCTTACCAGGAAATACATGTTTTGACATATTCATATTGAGAAACACGCACGTACTATTACATTCGTACTTGCGCTCGTTATTGGGCTGTTTAACCCTTCTATTCCCGACGGAGTAATTGCGTCCCGTGAATAATTGGCGGCAAACGATATACGTGAACTTGATATTGATCATGTTCTGTTAACATCTCACGTGTTAACTAACTGAACGCCAGACAAGCCGTAAATTTCGTAAATGTATAAAATTTTGTAATGTGAATACTTGTCGAAACTTTTTTGTATTCTATAATAAATTATATTTTATAATTAAATCTCAATATTAAGTTCTACAGAAGTTTAATAAATGTAATTAAAGAAAGAATACTCCTTTGCTGTTAATTTAATTCAATAATAGAATTATGACAAAAAATAAAAATGCGACTTAAAATCAATCTTTTATTTAACAACAATCTTTTATTTAAATATTAAACAAAATTAATTTTATTAAAAAAAAGAAAACCAAGAGGACACTTTTGAATTTATTGATAAAATTTCAATGAGAAATATCGTTTGCATATTATAAAATAAACAAATTAAAAAAAAAACAAGTAGAGATTAGATGAAAATTTTGCGATTAAATTTTTGGAATGACTATCATAAATTGAGGAATTGAATCTCTGAAGGGAGAATACACGATAAAAATGTGATGAAAAGGATTAGAGAAATATACCGATCTGCGTCAAAGCGTTAAAGCGTGGAATCCTTGGATTGTTTCAGATTGCTCTGTAGTCCTCCGAACGCTATTTGGACAGCGTCTCTAGGCAGCAAGGACGCGGAAGAGGAAGCGGAAGCGCGAAGCGGAGGCGCGAGCGGAGGATGCCGCGCGACGCAGCCGGGCAACGCCGATGCGCCGAGCATCGCCGGGACGCGGGTCGCGACACCGGCTGTTCGCGGGGTGCGCGATGATGGCGGAATGCGCGCGGACAGGGTGCGGAGTATCGTCGTCCAGCCCGTCGATCGAGTTTACGGTGGAGTCGATCGCCCATCGCGGCGGCAACATCGCGGAGCGCAACAGGGGCAGCAGCACGTGTCTGGGACGCGCGACAGGATAATAAATGCCAGAACGGCACGACGTCGGCACGAGCCGTGGTGGATCAAACGTGGGGACGCGAGGCACACTCGTCGAATGTGGGCAGGTGCTCGAGGAGAACCGCTGGATCGCGTGGTTGCATGTAGATCGCGAGGAAGAGGAGGAGGAGGAGGAGGAGGAGAAAGAGGAGGAAGAGAAGAAGAGGAGGACGAGGAGGAGGAGGAGGAGGAGGAGGAGGAGGAGGTGGAGGAGGTGGAGGAGGTGGAGGAGGAGGAAAAGAAGTACGACAAAGCTCATCGTCGCGAGCGGATCGCGGACAGCCGGACTGAACGACCGCCTCGCGGATTCTCATCGCACGGCAGGGGATAGCGAGAGCCACCACGGGGGCGGGGGTGGGCTTGCCCCTGCTTCTTCTCGTTGTTGCTCTTCTCGACGATTTGACGCGCGCGACGACGGCCGCGTCGGTGGTACCGCAGCCGCTGGATAGCGTCCACCCAGCCGATGCTACTACGCCCGTTCATCTGCCGCCGTCGCTATCATCCGATTATCCGTTCGCGCCGCGCCCATTCCGGAGGGCGATCGAGTGCGCGTCCAGCCCTAACGAGGTCGGTTCCGAAGGTCACGCGAATCGGGGAACTCTGGATCATCTTACATTGGCGACGCGCCTTTCACCTTCGTCCGCGCCGCCATTAACGTCGCCCCTGTCATTAACGTCGCCGCTATTGTCGTCGCCGCCGCCTCCGACGTTATCAAGACCGCCGTCGTCTTTAACGTCGCTGAATACCATCGTCGTCAGGCATCAAGATCTTTACATTTTGACGCCGAGTCGTGACAACGAGAACGAAGAGGTAGCAGCGCGACGAGGAAGAGCGAAGCGAGTACCGATAAGCAAGAGATCGAAGCTGAAAGATCAACCCTTCCCGAACTTTATCAACCCTTGGCCGGAGGCATGGCGACGCGTTAACCAACACCCTCCGCAATCTCGCAGAGTGGAATCCGCGTCATCGATTGACGAAGGGATTCGCTCTGCAGTCCAGACTTTCACTCCGCCATTAGAGCCCGTCTTCAAGTTCGGAGAATCGATATTGCGTCCGGAGAGCTCCTTGAGAGATATTCTACTTCGCGAAAGTGCTTCGAGGACAACGGCGACGACGACGACGACGGCGGTGGCGACGACGAGAACGATCACGCGGAACATCGCGTACCCCGATGCGACTCAAAGAGGTCATGGAAGCACCATATCCGAAAGAAATGACATCGAGAGAGTGACTCAAGACCGAGTGGAAGGTGATAAGAGCGGAAAGAGGTTGGCGCTCGTGGGGAACGAGGATAATGGTGCAGTCGTAGGTGGTGGTGGTAGTGTCATCGAGTGGACCACGACAACAGTCGCCGGGCCGATGTCATCGTCGCGGTCGACGTTCTCCGGAGACGATGTGCAGGTGGCCGAGCGTGTAAGAGTGCGCGCGAGTTCTCAACGAAACTCATCGAAGGGCGAGGAAGACGACGACGAGGAGCAGGTCAAGGTCACCATCGCGCACAATACCGAAGATTCGTTTGCATCGTCAACGACGACGACGACGACGACGACGACGACGACGACGCAACGTCCACCACTGACTCAAGACACCTCTATGGAAGCACGTAAGTGTTACATTTGAATTAGCTATATGTCTCGCTTAATGTTGAAAGGAGATATGGAATTAAATTTTCGAAAAATTAATAAGAAAATTGCTTCAAATATGAAAATAGAAAATTTTCGTAATATATTCCGTAAAAAAACGGAATATATTACTTTATATCGTATTACTGAATATTTTTTTAAAATCTCATATATGTCGAGAAAATATATAGAATAGATAGAATAAAATATACATGTTACGGAGCCACATCCTTTTAATAATAAACTGATCATCTATATTTTAATCAATTATAGAATCTTTTTAGACAATTCAAATCAAATCTCAAATTTTAGATGACAAAATTACTGGGTTTTTATCTTGGATTTTATATTTACATTAGTACTGTATTAAATTAAATTGATGCCGATAAATGTATGAGAAATTTAAAATATCTATTAAATTATATAGAGACTGAAAAAAATTGAAAAAACTGAAAAAAATATTTTCCTGATTGTTTCAAGTATCACAATTATGACCTTTTTTTTTTAATCATCTCTCGTCAGCAATAAGTTTCATAAAATATCGCTCTATTCCTTTACCACAAAAGTTAAAAAACTGAAGGTACGTTTCGATCCTTTTTAAGAATCGCCATTTCTATAGAAAGCAATAAGACGATCTCTCGTTTTGATCCCTTAAATGCACCTGAATGAGACTCTCACTCGCATCCTTTTACTACCTCGCTAAAATCCCTCCGGATCACCGGTTCGCATGCGAATAGCACCATGTTCGTTTTGCCAGGCTCGTGTTTACAGGAACCGCAGGCTCCACGATCAGAGTTAT